TTGGTTCCTAACCTAATTTAATGGATGCATGGTCATGTTGACTTTTTAAGTGAAAGAACATCATAATGTTAGCTTGAAAATCACTGAAGATAGCAGAAGTCATTGTAGGGTCACTGAAATGGAATCAAAGACCAGCTCATTCATGGGTCACTGTTCCTCCATGAAGGCAGCAGCTTTGAACCACCTCGTAATGAGCAAATGATTCAATCTGCTCTTTGTCCTTGGGTACATACACACTTTACTCTTTCTCTTCCTTACATGAATGACTGCTGACTTCAAACACGAGCCACATGGCAGCTCCCACTAACTCATGGTGACCTGGAAGGTCACTGTCCTGAATGGAAGATGGGTGGCCGAGCTCAGGAAGCTACTGGCATGTGGATGTGTATGAAGAGGGGAGAGAATTTAGGGAATCCACTGGCAAGCAGTCAGTGTTGGATGAAACCAGACCAATTAAAAGCAGTGAGTCCTTTTCTGGGCCTAATGAGGGGCCACAAGAGTCTGGACGGGTGGCAGACGGTGGATTGAAAGACAGAAGCACTTTAATGAACCAAATGAAAGGGGCTTGGTGAACAATCAGAGGCAAAAATAAACTACAGATTGTGTAATGGCCAGATTTAAAAATACCACCTCAATTAAACACATGAAGAGATTCTACATCTCCTGCAAATAACCTCAACCCTAGATTATTTTTCTCTTATTAGTGACATTTAGGTTTTAAATCTGTGCAGATTTAAAGCCCATCAGTTTTAATTAAATTGAAACTGAGGAAATTAAAATTAGGGCTTTTATTGGCTGAAAGCATCAACCATCAGACTTAACTGAAAAAAGCAACTGGATATTTTTAATCTTCCAACCATTTTCCTTAAATATGTTTTACCTTTGGGCTGATGGTAATAGACTTAGTTTTAGTCAGAACAATTAAACAAATTGGGCCACTAAGGTCACTAATGGGGCCAATATGGGACCTGTTAGCCGTTGGCTTTACTCTACATTTAGTTTAATATTTGGGTCATATTACTGCTTCATATTTTTTTTCCTGCCATCCTCTGTTGCGCATATATTTCATTTTTCTACAGGGTAAAACTGTAAAATCTTTCACCAACAGGGTTTTTGGAGAAAGTTACAATGGAAGATTTTTTAAACATCATTACAAATGTATTTTAAAAAGTGTATGAGTTACTATAAACAACCAAAGAAAACCTAATAATATATTGAGCAAATATTTTCATATGTAGCTTAGTAACTCTGTTGAGACAGCTCAGGGAAGCTGAAGCACGACTGTGCTGTTCTGCTTGGTTGTAAAAATGACTCAATGATCAACCTTTAAAGCAAATACACACATCTGGTCAGGTAAAAAGAGATGGTAGATTCATTTTGATTTTTTATGGAAATATAATCAAAAAGGTTTATCATTTTAAAGCAGAATTTGATTGAATCATTTATTTAGATTCAGGGAAGCATAAATTAAATAATTTCTTTATGTCCTATCAAAATATTCAGGTAGAAAATTCAGATGCACAAAAATATTTTAGTAATCATGTTTTTATTTATTTATCATCAGATCATTTCAGAATGCCAGACTTCAGATAGAAGAAGATTTAAATGATTAGAAATATCTGATTTTGTGCTGCAATCATAAAACTGTACAGTAAGCAATGCTTAAACCACTATTTACACTGCATCATATTTTTTCTTTGATAATAGCAAAATATCTAAAATTGAGGAACTGATAAATTTATATTATAGACACATTTACCATGCATTTGTGTTTCCTTAACAAACATGGAGGCTGTTGCTCCATTCAGCTTTCCGAGGTTTGATTCCAGACCTTAGGGTCTTTTAGTTCTCTCTCTATCCATTTCTATTCTAAAACTCTAAATAAAGACCAATAGCACCAAAAAAATAATAACTAGCACCAGCCTCCTAATAATCTGATTGTCAACCTGTGCAATCAGTCCCATTCATCAGATAGGTTTGGCCCAACTGGCGCATACAGAGGGCCGGCCTCTTCAGCAGTGATCTTCAGTGTTTGGTCTTAGTGTTGCAGCCATCAGGCTCAGCGCTGTCAGAAATTAGCCACTTGATGGAAACTAGAGGCTGAAATTGCTGCTGTTTTAGAAATAAAGGCTATTCTGACATCAAGTGGCATAATTGCGGCTAATTTTTCTGCGTTCTGACTGGTGAACACATCGATGTGTTTGAGTTTCTTCATAAGTTGTTTAAACAGAAGGTAAAGGAAGCGGCTAATAGGAAGATGAGACATTAAATTACGTTAGCAATATTACTGTAACTTGCCGATGTAGAAGATGGTTTTCTGTCATTTATAGTAAGTCAGACGAAAATAATGTAGAACTTGGGCCTTGGTTAGACATATAATCCTAACTGAAGAGTTTGAGTTTAAGTTAAACATAGAAAACGATGGATAAAAACCTATTAGGGATTACAAACGTGAAAATTAAGGATGAAGGGTCCCTCTAATCTGGCATATACTGTAAACATACACGATTACAGCACCTAAAAGAAAAGGAAAGACGACAGGAAGAAATTCATAGAGGATAACAGGTAATAAACACACAGAGATATTAATAGGAAAACAGAAAAATAAGTGACTGAGGGAAAGAAATACAAAAACAACCAATAAATTAAGGACAATGGAAGGAAGAATATAAAGAAAGGGAGAACTGAAAGGACACAAACAAGTTAAGGCAACAAATAAAACAAGTAAGAACATAAGAAAAGGCAAGAATGAGGGAAAGTGGCATACAAATATAACAGAAGGAAAACATAAAAAGGAAAATGAAAAATAAACCAGGCTCTGACTGGTACTGAACTCTTGGGGCCGGTATAACAGGTAGGCCAAAATGTCTACCTGTTACAGTAAATAACTGAAGGAGCTCAAGAAGTAATACAATGTTAACTATCTAAATGATGCAAGCAGTATGTATAGCCCTTCCTTGTCATTCACATTCTTGTCACGGTTTGCATATGGTGTAATTTTCTATTTCTTCAAATTGTAAAATCCTTGCAACAAACTAAATTATAATAAAACTAAAAGGCTTTCTTTAAACCAAACTAGGATGTTCCTCTTATATTCGGCGAATTTATGTTCAAATATTTTGCAAAAATATGTTGTGGTGCATGGTTTGCATCTAAAGGATAATCATTCTAATGTGAATAAGCAATGCAAACATAATCTATGGCTTGTTAGCAGTGCTATCTGGGTGTGTTAAACCGTGTGGATTGAACTGGAATCTGGAATAATTTGCAACTTGTAAAAAGTCCTGCAAGGGACTTTGTAAGGCATTCAACTGACTGACTGCTGTGTGTCAAGGTGTACAATTCACCACTTCACCACTACTACTCTTAAAGCTACAGTGTGTAATAATTACAGGCATATAAAGTCAGAAATTTAATATATTATACATAACTATGTTATTTATCATCACCTATGAGCTCAGCCTTTTAACCATAATATTTGCGTTGCCTTAGAATTCGTTATTTATAATTACATAGGAGCGGGTCTCGCAGCCATGGGGGCAGACATCTTTGCGCTACGGCAAGCGCAGAGGCAACAAACTAGCGATTGCGAGATCTCCCATGACGCTCAAAAATAACTACGGCAAGTTGAGAGAGATGAACTGAGACGGTACTGAACAGTAGATGGCAGTATTATGCCTGAGAAGCGTTTAGTCTGTCTGAAACCAAAGAAGAAGAAGAAGCAGGTATACTGCGCCTCAGTAACAAGAAAGGTGAACAAGGCGGCAGGCGTGAGTGACTTTGCAAACTGTTTGGCACTGTGTGGCCAAACATCAGACGAATGGAGGATCATGCCTACTCTGTATCACAACGACAAGCGGCGGACAACGAACCCCCGTCATCTAAGAAGCGGAAACACGACGAGAATAAACGCAAGCGTGACAAGAAACGGCAAGAAACACGGATCAACATTGGCACGGCATTTACACGATGGAAGTCACTGATGGAGGAAAAAGGTTTTCAAAGTGACGCTCAAGTTGCCAGTTTTCTCTTGGACAGGTAATTAATCCTACACACACAATTGTCTAATATCACTGCAGTTTTTGGAGTACAGGATGCTCAGACCTGTCTAAAACAATAACATGCTGCTGCGTGATGATGCTGTTACTCTCCAGTATACTTATTCAGCAACGTCCCTGACGTTTCATAGGTAATGATTCAGTAATTTTCTGTAAAATAATTTTCTGGATATATACCTCGGTTACTTCTCTCCGGCTCCTTTGGAGATCTTCAAGCCTTTCCTCCTCTGCTCTCACCCCGCTGGCACCCCTCCCTCGCCTGGCCCTAGCTGCACGGCCTCCCTGCCCTCGCCCTCGCCCTCTTCCTCGCCTTGTAACCCCCGTGCCACCAAAATGACTTGGACTCTGTAAACGGGGAATATATATTCTTCCAGCGAACACAATCTCGCTGTTAAACTAATGACTACAATTACTTCGTCTGTTTATATCACCATGCAAAGCAGCTCACCAAAACGTCACAACGATGTAGAAAAAATAACGGGTATATTTATTATCTTAAGTCTACATGAAATCTATACCCTACACAGACTAATGAAATACTATCTGTAAAATTATCTATGTAAACAAACCTCATCACTTGAGAGGGTAGGTGATGTGGACGTCGTGGAAGAAATTTTGTCCCGTAACGCTCGCCGTACTGTTGGGGGTGAGAGCGGTGGGGGGGAGATGTTCATGTTGCTGCGGTCTGCAGTCTGACCGCTAGATGTCGCTGAAAATTACACACTGTAGCTTTAATAGTAATAGTATCAGTAGGGGGTGGTAGATGGAAAAATATTGACATGATATTGATATTATGATATTTTTAAAACACTGATTTCCCACCTTGTTATTAGTTTGGTTGTGGTAAAGAAATGTAGCTAGTGTAATTGAATCTCTGGACAGTGCTGGCTTCGTTATTTAGTTCAGAATTAGAAATGAATTAACTGTTTACATTAAACTTACAGTCCTCAAAGTTGGAGCGGCCCCTGCCGCTTTTGCTGTGACGTGGGTTGCTGTCCTGCAGTTTGGAGAGCATGATTAAGGCCTTGCTTTTCCTCTCCTCCATACCCTGGTTCTTCTCTTCAGGTCGTTCTCCATCAGAACGCAGAGCTTCGCTGTTACTTTCTGTTTGATGGGTTTCCTCCTCACCAGTGTTCCCATTATCTGTTAGGGTAAAATTAAAGCCTTAATGTTAACTTGTCCTTTAATTTAATATAAAGCTTAAATCATTGCAATATTGATTCGTTAGAACTGCAATTAAACAGAACACCAAATAGGCACTAAAATGCATGGCAAAAAAAACAGAATTGAATGTGCAATAGGTGAGCACATTGTAGATGATCAGCAAAGATTGCAAAGGATAATGAAAACAGGTCCCCCCCCATATTAATAAGCAAATCCTGTGTGCTACTGTTTAAGAATGGCCAGAAAACAAAGAGAAAAAAGAGATTAAAGAATAAAAGTTTTTTAAAAAATCATAAAACCTGGAAAAATTGACTATGTCAGCTGATCTCTCTGAAGCCCCTCTGACAGAGAAGGATTTGCACATCTGCTAGCTTTTTATTCCAACAAATTTATAATATTACAGCAGCAAATTATCAAAGTTTTTCAAAGGCCTGTTTAAAATCTCCAAATGAGGCTTCAGATCATACAGTGTCAATTGCGCTGTCATTGTTTTACAGGGCAGAATATGCATTTGCTGACCCTTGTCCTTTAACTGATGGATATACAGGAATACAGTGTCAACTCCTCTGAGCTAGCACAGGATGCAATTTTTGGCAATTTCTATTTTATTATTTTATTTAAAAATTCAGTGTATAACATGAATGCTTAAATACCTCATTTTATTTCAGTGTAAAATTCTGTTTGAGGTAACAGATCATTAAAAATGTCTCCGGACCTTTACTGGTTGATGATTTTCTTAATTCGGACCCCAGTGATTTTTAATTGGTTACCCCTGATTTAATGTTTATAAATATTTATTTCACGTCATGTGCGCCATCCAATGCAGATCATTGGCTCCATCCACATCTAGGGAAAACTAGTGTAATTGGATGAGTCATATAACGCAAACACTCATTGGTTAGCTAAAGGAAATCATCAGAAGCAAGCAGGTGTTCTTCAAAGTGCAAAAGCGAATTGTCTATGCTGTTACGTCCACCAAGGGCACAACATATTTGAGGACACGAGACAAAAAGATGAGGGTTCAAA